ACACATGGGTGTTTTTTGTGTATTTTTCCCCAGGAGACCAAACAAAACATTCCACCAAAGCAAGACAAAACTCTCATCAATATTCTCAGGAATCTAAACAAGTTATACTGTGCAAAATATGTCAGGAATACATACAATACTTAGATGAATAGAGAAAAGTCCTCACACACACACACACACACACACACACACACACACACACACACTCACACACAAAGGCATTTGGTAAAACATGGTTTTTAAAGCTGATTTCACTCTAAGCCAAGAGCTAAAATGAGCTTTAAATGCAGATTTAAAAATCAGGGTGGATTACAGAATATTCAGGTGGTTGGCTTTGACATCATCTGAACTGCAACTGAGAGTAGAAATAAAATACCTGCTGTCAGTCTTATACATTATAAAATGCAGTTTGAGTGGTCAGGTCTTCATTACTGTCTTGTTTTTATGGTGTTTCAACCAAAAAAAATGAATTTCACATTTGTCTTTTTGAATTTTATTGGTCTTCTCACATCACTAATGAGAATGTCCAGAGGTGAGTGGCATACAGCGTTGGGGTGTTTTGAGTGTGTTGTGCTCAGGTATTGATAGAAAGCTGATAAAAGCTCTAATCCTTCATGCAAACTCAAAAATGGCATGAACTGAAATGCTGTCTAATCCAATTTGACCGGCAGCGCGTCTTTGGGACAGCAGTCCATCGTTCAAAGGCTTATGTGCTGCGTGAGAGCAGTTTGGCAGGCATTTGACTCTCCTCTCTGCTCTAAAGATTAGTGTATAATACTGCTGCAGCTTGGGGGACGGAAAGAGACGACTTGATTGTGTTGCTCTCTCTGACCAGGAGCTGCAGAGTGTGGCTCTTTTCACAACTTGTGCAGACTTTTAAATGCTGTTGTTTTTAAGATGCTGGCAAACTAAAACAATTTTTGTTTGCTGACATATTGATTTTGTTTTTTTACAGTGATATTGTCGCCCCCCCTTCATGGAGTCTAGACACTGGTGGTGGTGGTGGTGGTGGCTGATGACTCTGAGGCTGCTGACTGCTGAGGCAGATAAGGCTGATGATTCCCTATAGACTAGGTGGTGATGGGGAGGTGAAGGGTGTGCAAGACTGCAGCAGGAACCATATTTAAAATGGTGTGTCATTGTGCTATTGGTTGATTGTGAATCAGCTGAAGAACAGCTAATGACTCTCTTGACAGCCCCAAATGCAGAGATAGTGAGTAAGTGTGAATGGCAGGGTGAGAAAGAAACTTACAGCCAGAGCATGAGCAGTATTGTCTTCCTGACTGAACTTTTGCCAGAGCTTCATTTGTATCAGTGATTTATTTATTTATATTAGCGCTGTTGATCTTGTTGTTGACTCTTAGTTAAGTCCCGCCGTTGAGCGCAGACTGGTAAGTCAGGGTCCGACAACAACAAGGCTGTGCTCCACTGATTCCTGTTAGGATGAAATACAATCATTTCAGATTTTCATCCTTTTTTAGGCTGGTTTTGTGGATGTTGAGCTAAACATTGTGTCTGAGGCACATGTAATAGTGATACTTGTTACCTGAAAAGTTTGGAGGGAAATATATAGTAAGTGAAGTTATTGCATAAATAGGGTCAATAAAAGTAATTAAACAAGAGTTTCTTCCGACTACATTTGGCAAAAGCTTGATTTGTCATCTGGCTCCATTGTTGATGAAGATGTTACCCAGTGTTTTGTTACACTGATTGGCTGAAGCAGTTTGTCTGTCAAGGTGCAGTTAATAAAAGTGGGCTCCATGTTGGCTCTGAGTATCAGCAAAGATACTGGATTACTACAAGATGGCCCACCTACAATATACCCCCATTGTATGAAATGGTATACATTTCCGGTCTCCTAAGTGGGCGTTGTCCCCCATACCCCAATCAAAGACGACGGAGAACCGCCAATCAAAGACGAGTATCCCCAACCTCGTTTCTGTTAACATGTGTGTACCCTTGGCCGCAAGCTAAATAGATAAATAAACGGTCCGTGAAAAAATATTTTTTCCAGCGGATGTCTTAGTTACAACATGACTGAGCTAACTGGAGTAGTTTTGTGTTGTATCTGTCAACGGGAGGCTTTTAACAGATGACGTCCTGATGTTAGCTTTGCTGCTGCTGTTAGCTGTCCCTGTCAGCTGCAGCCACTGATGCTTTCTCGACATTGTGATTTCCCAAAACTGAATAAATACTACACATAGCAACCAGGGCTCGACGGTGCAAGCTTTTCACTCGCATTTGCAACTAAAAATAGGTGTGTGCGAACTGTAAAGAATATTTAGGGGCACATGTGCGCATAAAAAAACAGCCGAAGCAACCTATATTTTTGTCAATAAAAAAATATGATAATCTAACCGCAAATGGAGGAACTCCAGCCGCCTTCCCTCTTCCCTCTTCCCCATGTGACATGGTTATGGGCGGTTTTCCAAGCCACTGTCGGCACAATGAATATAAGTCCCACTGTCGGCAGCGTGGAAATAAGTCAAAGTCTGGAGGAGAAGCCTGCTTCATTCTCCCCGCAGTTAGGGACCATTCGCGCCGCTCTGCCACCGAGCCTGCCTCGAATTGAAATTTTTTTTAATTTCACCACAACACGCTGTGACACCACCTCGGCGCATCCAATAGCAGAGAAGAGCCTGAAGTAGACCCAGAAGCGGTCACCATGGAGCTGTAGCTCCTGAACGAGCCTGTACTCCCTCAAATCCTGTCTTGCGCGCCTTGCTCTCCGCTTGCTCTGCGCCCTACCCTGCGGTGGGCGCTGCGAAAATCGCGCTCTGTGTGAAAGAGGCTTAAGTCCTGCAGAGTTTCAGAGGACCTGGAGAATGTTTTAGGATAGTAATAACATTATATAAGATAATCATATTGCAAAGATAATATATATAAGATAATAACATTAAAGACAAAATTAAATTGCAATACTTTTTCAAAACTTGATGATTTTACCTTTCTGTACATTTTGTATACAAATTCATTAAATAATTTTGCTTGTAAATGTCTATTTGCATCACGTTTATTATGGAAAACACATTATTTGATCAATTTACATTGTGCCCCTAAAGTTCTTTGTGCGCTCCTTACTTTTTCAACTTAGGAGCACATGTGCTCCTTGGGAAAAAAGTTAGCGTCAAGCCCTGGCAACACAAAACTGCTTTGCTAGCTCAATCATGTTGTAACTAAGATATGGAAAAAAATATTTTTTGAATCCAGTATCTTTGGTGAAACTGCACTGATTTCAGCACCAGAGAGGAGATATCTGTTGCCAGATCTCGCGAGAGTGTGTTGTTGAGACAGAAACAGGTCTTGAACAAAGTAAATTTTCTCCTGATTTGTCGGTCTGAAATTTGCCATTTTGGTGTCGGAATGTTCTGAAGATATGTGGCTTGTGATAAATGGGTCCAATATCTGCTTCCATGACTATGGGGCAAAAGAATCGGCCATAATCTGTAATCACGTTCATTTCTCCCACTGAAGTCAATGGACTCAGGACCTGCTGTTAGTCTCCTAAAGGGGCGTGGTGGTCACGAACCCTACGTGACACTGATACAGGAAAGTGACTCGCAGTGGACCGTCTTGGTTTATCCACTGTCTTTAGTATCTGAGGCTAATGACAAAGAGGTGGAGCTTAGTGAAGGGTCAGTTGAGGTCCCGAAATTCAGCACTTTACTCTTAATCTTGCATGAATTTCTATGATGATGAAAAGATCAACAATATTCATTCAACAGTTCGTTTGCCCCCTAAGTGCGGTTCATTTGGGCAGGTGTGAACACAACAGTGGCACTCAGGTGCGCACCAGAACAACCGGACTGAGACCTCCTTGAAAAGGTGGTCTCATGACACATTGTTTTGGTTAAACACGAGCATGTTACAGTCCTGGAGGATTATTAATGTGCACCTCCTCCTGTACTGCCTTACACACATTCAGCACATCCAATGCATCAAAACATTGTTTCCTAGTTGGAGCCGCGCCTCGTTTTCAAACTGTATGGTCTGACTAAAATGAACAATGACAGCAATATAGTCCACGATGACCAGCGCTAAAATCAACCTGCGTAGTTGTTCCTCCATTGTGACATTAGAAAGTGTCACATTTATCTTACAGGTGTACTCTTCTTCAACGTTTTGTTTAATTCTGACCAATCAAGAGCAGCTTTCTTATGCAAGGCATTTTATCTGGTCTGCTTGTAAATGCTGCCAAGTAGTTCCTGACTCGGACCAAAGCAAGACAACTCTAGGTCATTTATATTCTGTGACATTCACTTGGCACACACCTTTGTCCAAAGCGATAAAGTGCATTTTAAAGAAATGAGACAAAAGTTAGTCCTGCAAGCGTTGCTGATATGTTACCTGAAAGGGTGTTTATTCACAAACATGGAAAGGTTGTTAATCAACACATTTGTCAAGTTGCACACTAAAAGTTTCTGCTAAATGTTCACTGACAACTTAATTTCTTTTTTTCCCACAATATCCACATTCCATACAACATAACTGGAAAACAAATTGGTTTTATACCAAAACCTCTGGCCCTTAAATATTTTTCCAACTGTGGCTTAGGAGGTAGAGTGGATCATCCACCAATTGAAAGATCTGTGGTTCAATCCCTTGGTCCTTCGGCCCACATGCTGAAGTGTCCTTGGGCAAGAAACTGAATCTGTATAAATGTTTAACTGACTAGCAGGTGGCACCTTGTATGGACAAACACGAGTCCTTTTACCATTTCCCAGTATTGTGTTTTAATTCTTGACCTTAGAAATTGGCAGCCTGCAGAAAACCAAATGAAATCCTCCACTGGTCCATCTAATTTGAGTTTTTCCTGCTCCAGTAAAGATTTTACAACTCTGTACAGTATTCAGTAAATCCCAAATGATGGAAACTGTCAACACACTATTTTGATTTATTAGCAATCTGCTATTAATTTAGCTGTCAACCTAATTACATAATGTCTGTGTGAAGCGGTGAAGACCATTCAGCGTTAAATCTGCTGATTTTCTGTGTTTCAGGTGATGGGAACCCCAAAGAGAGCAGTCCTTTCATCAACAGCAGTGCAGCCAGCATCGCGGACAAGAGCCAGCAGTATGACGGCAAGAATATGGCTCTGTTTGAGGTGAAGACAGTTTACACAACCCCAAACAGGAATTCATATCAGCGATAGATCTCTAATGTGTCTGGGGGGTCTCTGCCTGTGTGTTGCAGGAGGAGATGGATACCAGCCCAATGGTTTCCTCTCTGCTCAGCAGTCTGGCCAACTACTCCAACCTGCCGACGGGCAGCAAAGAGCACGAAGAGGCCGAGAATAACGAGGAGGGAGCACGTCTGTCAAAGAAACCTGTCAAGGTAGAGAACTGCACTGTGTTTGATCCGTCCATATCTGCCCTGCAGCTATCTGAACCACAAGAGCAAAAAAATGAAACAACTACTAGACACCAGAGAGCAAAAGCTTATGCATATTCTCTGATATTTATGTGTGAAAGGTCCGTTTATTCCAAATCAATACACTCTACTCATAGTAACTTTCATTAATGTTGTTGTAAGCTACTGTCATTACCGTCTGTCCTGCATCTCTCTCTACCGTTTTTTTCCCCAGTTAAAGGGGTTTTTTGGGGAGTTTTTCCTTATCCGCTGTGAGGGTCCAAAGGACAGAGGGATGTTGTATGCTGTAAAGCCCTGTGAGGCAAATTGTGATTTGTGATATTGGGCTTTATAAATAAAATTGATTAATTGATTGATTGATTGAGTAAAAGCAGTATAAATTATATGCTTTCAATTATTGTTGACAATTTGACAGTTTAAAATGTGGTTTTTGTCAACAGGAAAACAACAGCTGCACACATCGCTCTCCCATTGAACCTACTGACAATTTGACTACTTCCCCAAAAAAAAAAAAAAAGAAAAGAAAAGTTTTACTGCAAATGATGAATTGCTTTGTCTTTGTTTTGTGAGCTGTCACTGTTTTTTTTTTTTTTTAATTATTTTAATTCAATTTCCTCCATTGTTGTTTTGGTATGCATCCTGTCATTTGCACTGCTAGCATTCAGAACATATTAGACTTCGCCGGAATGCAGCTTGTGATTTGATGCATATCAACCAACCTCTGCGGAGGAAGAGATCTGTCAGCGGCTGAAATGAAAACCAGCACAAAGAACACTGACAAACTTTTGACGAAGCAAACCTTGAGAACTACATGGTGTTTTCACAGGACGTTTACTGTGGAGCTCTCACGTTATTGATGGATTAAACTCGGTACTTTCTGATGCTTGTTTTCAGAGAACAATCCTGATCTCCAGAGAGACTATGGGGAATTTAGCCTGTATTAAAGACTATGCAGGATTTCCCTTAAAAACAACATATATAGACCCACCCAAAAGTAATCGTCATTTCTTATGAACAACTAGCAGTGTCTGTATCTGCAGAGAACCTGTCCTGGTTTGTTCATTTCTGGGTGTGTAGTCCCCAGCTAACCGCAGCGAGAGGTCAGGACTCTATACAGATGTAGCAACCAGGTTACATCGCTGTCTCGGTCTCTTTCCTTTGCTCTGTGAATGCAAGCTGCAGGTCGGGGTGTCTGTTTGATCGAGGGCAAGGTTAAGACAAACACACAAACACGCACTCACACACAGAGCAGAGCAGAGAAGCCAAGCGGACAGGATGAAGCATGCCGTTCACACAGAATCCAGTAATGCAGCACCTTCCTGCAGGGTTGTGCGAAGGTGTGAGTGTGTTAATTTGTGCTTTACAACGTTTCCACCATGACGCAATCAGAAAATAATGGTTTATTTCTCCAATTCACTGCTTTGTCCTCGTTAACACTGCACCCTCTATTCATTCACTCCTTAGCGCCTCTCGGCCCCGCTGAGCCGAGGAGGAAGGGCCAAGTTTGAATTTTGTGATTTGTGAATTTTGCCTTCTTTAACCAATAGTTGTTGGTTTTAATTTCAAGGCCTTCAAATTGTGTTTTTGACACCTGCCACTTCACTTTTGTTTCCTCCTCCTAGTGGCGCTCATCAGGGTTTATGTTGGGTCTGTTATTTCTGCATTCGTTCAGTGGATCAAAAGACAATAACCTGAATCCTCTCTGTGTTTTACTCCTCAACAATTGTTGACTTCCAGTGAGCCAAATGAAAACTGATACTACCAGACCCCAAAATACATCTTGCTTATTGTTTGTTTAGATACTGTATGTAAAATTGTCAAAAAAGTATCACAGCAGATGGGAAACAGAGTATTTCTGACTTTTAAATCCATCTCCCTTTCTCAATAAAATCCCTCCAAACAATACATTCAAAATATAAATAGACAGAGGAATTAATGACAGTACGTTGTTGTTTTTTATGAGTGCTCAGTAAAGCCATCGATACAAAGATCCTTAACAAGCTGAATCCCATTTCTAACTAGAAGAGCACAGACCTCCGCCAAGGCCAACAGTTCAGTCTTCTATAAAATGCAAATCTGCAAATGCAACCACTATATATGTCAAGATATATTTCCATAACTATTAGTAGATCACAATAACACATGGTTGAAGTCCATAAGCACAGACTTAATGGTCATTGTTATTGTTTTTTCTCATGAAGCGTAAAGTTCTAACATTTTTCCTCAATATTTCTGGCGGAGTTCTTGCAGACGACCTTGAGAAAAAAAAGGCGTTGTTACAATAGTACAAGTTCTCCAATGAAACCACTGTTTGTCCCTGAATGCTCATAACAGCTGCTTTCTGTATGAAGTTTAAGCAATTACATGTTTAGGCTGCCCCTGAGGGTCATGAATGTGGATTTTGTTCGGGAGTCATCATCGAGTCATTCTACAGTCGGGTTTGGTCACTGTTGTGACTTTACTACCATCTACTGGATTTTAAGATGTATGGCATTTATTCCGCTAAGGCCAGATGCTTTATGTTGCAGTGTTAACAAAAATGAACAATAATTTGTGTATCCACCCTGTGATTAGGATCTGCTCCAAAACTTAATGGGTTCTTCACCTTCCCACCAAGCCTCATGAAAAGTTTTTCCATTATCCTACTCACAAACCAACAAACAAACTGAAGCCAAAACAAAACCACCTCAGTGGAGGTAATTACGGTACAACAGGCCACATCCATCACAATCTGTCGCGGTCTGTGCGGCAGGGGATGCAGCAGACATTTTCAGGTGTTTTATATTTTGTGTTCTTTTTATTTTACAACCTTCAAATGTACAGGGTAGCAGTCTCATGGCTGAGAGTTGCTGTGTTCCCACATAAGGAGCACTGCAGGCAGTGACCTGAGATCAGACACCTGCAAGTGGTGAGCTCATTAGTTGAGGCTCAGCCAACACCGCTGCCCTCAGTGATTGACTGGTTGTAATAATGGATTCTGGATGTTTGAATTATTCAGCTTCCGGCTTGTTTCAGTGAAGCTGTTTGTCTCCTTCATGCCAGCTCTGAAGTTGAATCACTCGTCCACTTCAGGTTTCCAACACTGGATATATGATGCAACTGGTAGAAACTATTCATGCTACATAGAGAGCAGCTGTTCCATCATATTTTGTACCTGTTTACGGGACAGTTTTATCCCCATCAGGGTAACACCTCACTTTATGTCATTCTACTTAGAATTTATGGGAAGTGTATTAACACGTAATAAATGGTTTAATTAAAATGTAGTTGTAGGCAGACGTAGAGTCAGTGCTCATTAACTAGAACACTATGGCCACCCATAAGTGGAGGCTGTAGATAATATAGAATACAGGCCATGTTAATCACAGATAAGAATATAAAATATGTCTTCATAGCAGGTAAAGACTTTAATAAACACACCCATGTCCTTATGAGTGCATTCAACTGCATTTTTGTGTTATAATCTATATATCATATTTTTATGCTGCTGATAAATGTTAATATGGAGGATTTATTAAACAACAGCACAGGACCTTGATACACGTTTGCACTCATTTGAGACATGAAGTCTGCAGGGAAAGACACAGACAGAGGAGCTGAGAGTCAGCAAATTATGAAGACGCTACTCAGACTGAGTCACCCGAAGGATCCTGCAGCACGGGCAGTCAAAAGCATCACAAGTCGACTCTCACCGGCTTTTCCGCCCCGTGGACAAAACACAAGCAGTGACTTTGATCTGTCCGTTCATCTTTCAGCTCCTTCTCGTCACACACATCTGCTCACAGAGTGCTCTGAATTTAAATCAAGGACTCCCGGACTCTTCAGATGTTAGAGGGACGAGAAAAGACTTAATGTGATACATTATTTTGTTTTCTGGTGTTAAAAATGTAAATATTCTGTCCTTTACCTCCCAGTGGGAAGTGTTACCGGATACTTAAGTAAAGAAATGTGTAATTTAAGGGTGAAAGTGGAGATAATCTTGAAAGAAAACCACCTAAAATTCCTAAGACTACCTTAAGTGTTACTTTTATAACTTGTTATGTATCTCTACTATATTTCTATAAAGAAAATATGTTGCTAAGTAAAATATTTCTGACACTTTGGACCTCCAAACACATGGAGTACGCTACCTAATTCCGATGACATGCTCATGTAAAATGGGACAGTCATGTTTGTTCATTCACTAAATCACAGGTCTGTATATCATTGAATTTGTGTTCAAAGGTAGTGTAAGGACTGAATGACTGAGGGGGTGGGGGCTCACCTAGGGCACCAAAGATGCACTGCTTCATCCTCACTTTGTTGTGGGTATTTATATTTTCTTCTACACTTTGGCAGATATTCATGCAGCAAAATAGGAATCTATGGAGAGATGTATGCAAACTGTTTGAATTCTGCCCAGAATAAATCTTGACACTTTCAACCAACCACAGATATGTTACATTTTTACATTTCATATGTAGCAAATATGTTTAAAAATAACCTCTGTTTCTGTTTTAATTTCAATTTTATGTTGTAACATTACTGTGGTTAACATGCAGTTAGGTTTAGGCATAAAAAACACTTGGTTATGGTTGGGAAAAAGTCATGTTCTATAGTAAAAATCACAGCTGGTCTTGAATAGTGGTGTACAGCTTGGCAGCCTTCTTCTCGCCAAGGCATCACGTCATCCACCATCCCCTCCACCTCCTGATGACAAACTCAGCTCATATACATGTAAATCTGCATTATTTACTTTAAAAACATGAATATGATGCATATGAAGCATATATATATATAATGTATTCGTGGTTTGCTGAAAGGCACAATGTCTTTTTCCACTGTTGATGACTGAGCTGTTGAATTTGTTGCCGCTAGCCAGACAGATTCACTGACAGAAATAAGGAGGAAAAAAGGAGAATAAACATTTATCTTCCCACTTCACTGCAGAGAGGTTTCTTTGAGGAAATAGATCAATTTCAGCTAAACAAAGAGCTTGTCTTCCTCTTCTCCGCAGGGTTACCGTCTCTTTGTGTTTGAAAACAGTAAACCCCTGTCTTTCTAATGGAGGAGCTGGACCTCATTTCATGAATTTAAAAGGCAGAACAGATTTAAGGAGACAGACACTGAACAACAAAGTGCACCACTGACAGATTATGACTCCCATTTTAATCCATTCAAATGGAAAGTAAGATGCAGCGAGAGTGAAGACACAAGGACTTTGACTAATCGCTCATCGTGTTTGTGTTTCTCAGGCTCCACAGCTGGGCACTCTGATGGGTGTGTACTTGCCATGCATCCAGAACATTTTTGGGGTCATCCTCTTCCTGCGGATGACCTGGATGGTTGGGATCGGAGGCGTTTTTGGCTCCTTTATAATCGTCTTCATGTGCTGCTCCACAGTGAGTGAAACTGCTGTCATGCATTTCCTGTGCACTATGACCGCTCTCTGTAACTTGACTGCTGTGTGGTCCACTCACAAAACAGATATAACATTAAAATATGCATGCTTAATCTAATGCAGGACGACAAAAGAGCTGTAAACATCCACCCACAAGATTATGTCAATCTAAAGTGGTTCCTCAGAACACATGAACCCAATTTAGGTGCTATATGATTCAACAACAGGCTGTTACAATATATAGCAGGGTACATAATTATAATTTCCATTACACAGATACTGAGGGTGACATCATATATACTGGCATAAGGTGGTCTGCCAGTAAACGCACTAACACCCTAACATCGCAGCCACCTCATCCCTGCTGGAGCCTGTCATTTTACTGCTTTGTCGACAGCCACCTCATTTGGGGTTAACAGGTTAATAGTACAGTCAGGAGCTAACAGGTCATGCACCGGTCAATTATGTGATTTAGGGATATTTTGCTTCCATAGCATGTCTTCTTTCAGACTAGAGCAGGGAAAAAACACCCAAGATATACATTTAGATTTATTGTTTTGATTTTTAACTGCAAATTTTAGTTCTGGAAATGTAAATTTGTCCATATCTCATTAGATAATGCATAAATTTGCATATCTAAACTTTTTTATTCCCGAACACTTATTATACAAAAAATAATTTCTTAAGCAATAATAATAATTATTATAACAATGGCTTTATTAAGGACACAGAAGAAGGTCCATACCGTACCACATAAAAACAGACAATCATCTATGTACAAAAATAAAATATATGTATATAAAAAAAGACAAGAAATACCTAACTCTACATTATGCAGGTTCATATAAAAAAGACAAAATTCAATTAACTGCACCCACAAACAAGCTGGAGAGCCAGTGGCCCCACATTCTCCATGAAAACCTGACTGAGCTCAGCTCAGGTTTGGCCAAAGCTTGGATGATACTATTTTCTGAGACAGACAGGCTGCCCATATATCAATATATAAGATTTTGTATTAAAGCAGGACAGGTGGGTACACCAGCATTTACAAACATTTGTCTGACACTGCACCACAAACATTAGCACAAGTGTGGAAACAAAAAAACAGTCCTACATTAGATTTTCAGGTGATACAAGAGGTGATTGACACAGTAACAGACCAAAGTGGCCATTTAGAGTTTACAAAAGTTTAAGAGATATGAATATGAGCGGTCGTGGGTTCTCATGATGTGATGGTCCAGTTATTCAACTGGGGAATTTCATGATGATATCTGTTAGTTTTATCCCATGACCCTGTAGTGTCTCCTCCTAAAGGTGCAATGTGCAGGATTTAACAGTATCTTCCAATAAATAAGGTATTAAGTATTCACAATGTTTTCAGTAATTTATAATCACCTCAAGATAAGAATTGTTGTGTTTGTGCTACCTTAAAATGAACCGTTTATATCTACATATACGACCCAGTCGCACTCCAAAGTTGTCAAAATCCGGCGCTTGGGCAGTGACATGGGACATCAGACACTGATGAAAAAGCTGTTCTTTAACATTGGCATGATATGCGACTGGTCACCGTTATAGTTTAACAGCGCTCTGCGGCATCAGGGGGAAACGTGGCGGCACAAGAACAAAAGTTAAGGCGGGGTAAGTCTGAGTAGGGCGGGTGGGAGTTGTGCTGAATGGGTCAAACAAACACCAACTTTGGAGAACAGTGTTCGTGTTCTGTAAGATTCTAAAGCCAAACCCTGTTCTTTTTTCCTAAACTAAACCATGCACATTAGTTGTTGAAGGAAAAAACGTCAATTCCTGTTGTATCGACATAATGCTTTCATTTTGAAAGAGACTGTATGTAAACGTTTAATTTCCTGTGAAAACAGAAGTATATTTTGAAAGAAGACAATGCATGTAACAGGCAGAACTTGACACGGCGTCCCAGAACGTCACCAACCAACACACCCAGGGTACTTTGCACGTTGTATGTGGACGTGGAAAGTCCATGACCAAACATCGAGTGAGACCTGACCTCATCATATATCAATATGTATATGTATACATATATCATGTGTTGACATATAGCTCGGGTCCTCTTTCACAGAATCCACCATGTTGTTTGTACAGCAGCCCAGAGGGAGCAAACCAAATGCTGGCTCTAGATAGGGCCATTTGCATTTTTATTCTGGTCACTGTAGGTCTCCTACATGCATGGTACATGAGAGAGGTTTCAGTTCTGCAACCTCACTGCTAGATGCCACTAAATCCTACACTCTAAAATACAAAACGTTAGTCTATATGAACAGACTACAATGTAGAAATGTGAAAACTGGTTATATGAAATCATCTATTGGATGCAATTTTCTAATGAGTGTACAGGTACCTTACTTGTGTACTTTACAAGAGTATTTGTATTTAGTAAATGTTATCAGTTCCCCTCTGCCTCTTGGCTGCAGCAGAGAGTATGACTGAAGTGACAGTATTGTGCCTAACCAGCCATGTAGTCATCAACAATTCAACATGACCAGATGAGTCAGACTCCCATGCTGCTGGATGTTTCCTCTGCTCACTCCCTCAGTTCATTAATGGCCTTGCTGTCGGCCATATTAAAGTTGAGGTACCCACCTGCTGCCTCTCACAGACCAGTAACCCTCCTCTGTTGCTGTGGTTCTTTTTTTCTCAGACAATGCTCACAGCCATCTCCATGAGTGCCATCGCAACAAATGGAGTCGTGCCAGGTGAGAGGACATCCAAGGGGATGTATTAGTGTTTGTTTGTGTGTGTTTGTGACAGGAGCATGCACTGACTCTTCTGTTTGTTTGTGTCTCACAGCTGGAGGCTCCTATTACATGATCTCTCGCTCTCTGGGGCCCGAGTTTGGTGGAGCTGTGGGGATCTGCTTCTACTTAGGCACCACTTTTGCAGGCGCCATGTACATTCTGGGCTGTATTGAGATCCTGCTGGTAAGTTTCCTCAGTGATCAGATAACTCATGTCTGTTATTTTATATATCGTCTTTACAGCTTTATATAGAGTCCTTTATCACCTCACACATTTTAACATGCCATGACAGGAGAAGCACACGCGGAACTAATCGCTTAATGCTGGTATTGTGCAGACTGGTGGCTCATTGGTTTGATTTAGAAGATGTCACACCAGATGTTATCGTTTATTCTTTTTCTCCCTCTCCAGCCTTCAGTCAATGTAGTTTCTAGAGGCCTGAAAACACTTAACCAGCCGACTGTTGCATTACCTTTCTTCACCATACTCCACTACACCTTACCGTGTTCACCTCTCTCTGCTTCCTCTGCCTCCCTCCATCTTTCCATTCTTTCAGATTTATATTGTTCCCCAGGCAGCCATCTTTAAGATCGAGGGTCTGGAGGGGCCTGAGGCAGAGGCAGCTCTCCTCAACAACATGCGGGTGTACGGCACCCTCGTGCTGAGCTTCATGGCTCTGGTGGTGTTCGTGGGGGTCAAATATGTCAACAAGCTGGCGCTGGTCTTTCTGGCCTGTGTCATCCTCTCCATTGTGGCTGTTTATGCCGGAGTCATCAAGACCGCCATCGAGCCCCCCGTGTTCCCGTAAGTGACTCTTTGATTCACTGGTCAGAGTCTCTGGCGATGATCCGAGTGTGTGACGACGATGTGTTGGCTTTCTTTACAGCGTCTGCCTCCTGGGAAACCGAACGCTGTTTTCTAGGTCGTATGATGTCTGTGCAAAGGTCATCGAAATAGACAATGAAACCGTCACCACCAAACTGTGGAGGTCCTTCTGTGATTCTGACAACCTCAATGCCACGTGTGACGAATACTTTACAAACAACAACGTCACAGAGATACAGGGTATCCCAGGGGTCACTAGTGGCATCCTGGCAGGTGAGAGATACCTTATATAATACCTTCTGTCAGTCACCAGGATTGATCACATGCTTCACGTAAATGTTCCTCTGTCTTCTAGAGAACCTGTTTGGTAACTACCTGGAGAAGGGGATGTTCCTGGAGAAGCGTGGGATCGCATCAGACACAGATCCAGACACTCCCACATCCAACTCCAACCGCTACGTCCTGGCTGACATCACAAGCTTCTTCACGCTGCTGGTTGGAATATACTTCCCATCTGTCACAGGTGAGCAGCAGAAGAGAAGTCTGGAGGGAAGAGAGGATATTATGCTTATTAAAATGATCTTCAAAGCTGCCCTAATCTATATTTTTATATCAACAACAGATCAAATGACTGCATGTAATATGACAGTGACAGTAATGAGAGAAAATCAATTTATTGTGTTAGTCCAACTAAAACCAGACTTTTAAAATACATGTTAACATGTTGTCAGCTGGTAACAACATGGCGAAATCTATGTCCAGAGCTGTGCATTTTTGGACAACGACATGTACAGAGCTGTAAGATATCCACCATGGTTCCAGTTTGCCGCTCGCTAACTGTAGCTAACTTGTTTGTCAGTTGTTTGGTCTGTGATATAATAGGTCAACTAGAAACAGGTCCAAGACTAACAAGCCAAAAGGGGGCATATTGCCACCTATCATAGCAGAGTCAGACTATACATAAATCGATTTCCCTCCTGTGGTTGTGTACAGGGACAAGGACAATAGTCCATTAAATGGCCTAGTCGAGCTGTAACCCTAGCTTGACTTAACTGCACATGTAAATGTACTGACAGGTGATTTTACTCCAGTGTACATAGGCCTAAAGAAAGAAGTAAATCCCCGTGCAGGTATGAAAGCATAACACTCCTAATTATTTCATCGTGCTCCACTTACAGGTATCATGGCGGGCTCCAACCGCTCTGGAGACCTGCGTGATGCTCAGAAGTCAATCCCCATTGGCACGATTGCAGCCATCACCACCACATCTACTGTGTGTATCCTTCACTGAGGCTAAGGTCGATTCAACAGAAACTAGGCTGACCAAATGTCCTCTTTTGCCGGGACATGTCCACTTTTCACGTCCTGTCCGGGGCGTTCGGGGGGTGTTTATAAATTGATGATAATGTCCAGTTTTCCTTGTGTGTGTGTGCGTAATCCCTGAGAGGCTGCCTTATCGGCAGATCTCCAGCACTCACAACGAGGAAGCAGCAGACACCGGTGGCACAGCATTATTCTAAGCTTCCAAGATGCCAAAGTGCAAGTGCAGCGTCACAGATGAACTGCAGAAAAAATTCCCAACTTACCGTCCCGACTCGGTCGGGATATATGGGAGGCTGAGTGCACCGTGTGCAAAGCTGGCACATATGATTCTGTGTCTAATAAAGGTGCCAGGGAGCTCAAAGTTGGATTTTCTAATACAGAAGAGGTATTATTTAGAACATTATTTCATATTATTTATTTATTTATTTGTCCAGTAAGACTTGAAAAGATAGCTATTATTTTACAAGCTGATTTTTCTAATACAGAAGAGACATTATTTCTATCATTATTTCATTCCAGAGATTTTACATTTATTTTACATTTATATTTATTTTTGTACAATTGAAACTTGTAAAAAGATTATTATTTTAGGCATAATAAAAGCAAGTTGAATGACCTCTGAGAAGCCTATCTAAATTTCTGTCTTTGAGAGATATTATTTTGTAATATAACTGAATTTTCTATCCATACATATAAACTTTAAATATATTAAAATTAAAAGGCATCTTTGAGTAAACTGCGAGTATCATTTAAGTAGGCTATCTCGTGGCCAGGGCAAGTGTCCTTTTTTTTGGAAATCAAAATAGGTCACCCTACAGAAACTGTGGGGATCAGAAAGTGCTATTGATGACTTTTAGATATTGGTTGCATAGCCTATATTTGGATCAAACTTTTCCAACAAGACATTTCTTAACAGTTCTTCCCCAGACATGTCCTGTGTGGTGCTGTTTGGTGCCTGTATAGAAGGAGTAGTCCTGAGGGACAAGTAAGTAAGGATGACTGGTGTCAATTTCACTGGTTCCTGTGCAGCAGGGTCGGTCTTTGTTTCACTGTTGTAATCATTAAAAAGCAAAAGCAGCATGTGTATACATTCAGTAGGCTATATCTTCAGTAGCTAGCTAGCTAACCCTACACTTTTCAGGGTTTGATTTTGGATTTGGAACAGGGAAGAGACGTATATCTTTTTCCAACCTCTCCAGGTAACGAGTATCATTAATACATGATGTGCCCCAGGCACAACATTTAGCTCCAAATCCACAAAACCAGCCTGTTTTCAATCAATGCCTGAAGCTAACATTAGCTTAATTAAGGTTAGCTTGCTAGCTATGGCTCATATTTAGCTAACGTTAAATGCTAGAAAACAGACCTTTTTCACGGCAGCCATTTTGTCTTGACATTAGCGGAACAACACAGGTGTATTTAATTAACATTAATGATGGCTGCATTCCACTTAGAGGAAGTCCTGGCATTGTGCACGCTGGCTCATTAGAAAAGCTTACTACGACATTTAATGGAACTGAGCCATCGTTAATGTTCCCAGTTTCACCTGTGCTTTTGGTACACAAAATGTCTGCTGTGCAAGCGCCCAAATTCACTGTCGCCAGCAGGAAATGAGAGGTCTGCTTTTGTGTACCTCTATCTGAAATAAAAGACCCATTGTTCCAAAAAATTACAAAGTTAGCCAACTAATTTCAAATGGTTTATCCAACCTTCCTTTTGTAAACTGCATATCATTAACTGTGTGCCAGTGGAAGCTTGACATGCCATAGCTACAATAACTAAAGTGAATGTGGCTTATATGTCATATATTTTATATCAGTTTAAAAACATTACGTGGGTATTAGTTTATTTGAATAAATGGTGAAAGAGTAAATATGTGTTATCACAGCTTCTGAATGTTTTGTCTTCGCCTCTGTCCTCAGGTTTGGTGAAGGGGTCAATGGTAACCTTGTGATTGGGACTCTGGCATGGCCATCTCCGTGGGTCATTGTATTCGGCTCCTTCTTTTCCACTTGCGGAGCGGGACTCCAGAGTCTGACGGGAGCTCCACGTCTCTTACAGGCCATCTCCCGTGACGGCATCATCCCATTTCTGAGAGTGAGCACACACGTAGTATTAAAATACCTCTCTATCACGAAAGCAGAAAAAGTGTTTCAAACTTCTCAGAGGGCGAGAACTTTTGTGGAGGCCTGTGTATTTTCTGTCGCTTGAGGCTGCAGAAATAAACATGAAACACTTTATTTCATTATAAAAATCTCATAATATATTTGTAAAGCACTTATTATCCAAGAAGCTGCCATGAAATGTAATTGAATTTACTCATTGTGTGCAGGCCAGCCATTAGGAAATATTCACAAAGAAAAAAATAATTCCTGTCACAATTTAGTGTAATATTATGATGTTTTTATTTGTTTCATACATCCTTTGAATATAATCCAATTTATCATATTTCCACGTGTTCCATATCAACTGTATGTTAAGACCTCATTTTGAAAAGCAGAGGTCATCACATTGCATGTTTCCTGGGCTGAAAAAATGCCCTCCAATGAATGATTAGAGAGCAGTAAAATCTAACACTGAAGACATTACTGCAAGGTATTAAATCATAAGATCAATTCATGAGTGAACAAATTATTTTTTTCTTCATTTATTCATTTAATCTCAAGGCTACTTTAATCAAATATTGGTCAGCTTGTGTGCAGAACTTAAACAGTGTAAAGAGTGTATGGCTGTCAACTCTCAGTTTTACAGTTATACCTAATTTAAGTAATTTCAGGATTGTTCAGGGACCCCAGTGTGCACAAATACTGAAAACTTTGGAGTGTTATTTGGCCCGAAGTCGAAGCTTACACATGGCACTATTGCTCCAGCTTTTATGTCAGTTAAGCGTATCATTATGATGAATTGGAAATCACACAAATCAAATAGTTTTAATACAGATCATTGGTTAAAAGACCTTATGAATATATTATCAATGGAACAGGCAGCTTCAGCTCTTTGTAAATACGACCATGGAGATGATGGACCTTGGATTTTTATGAGATCTTATCTTGGGAAAATGGTTGAATGAACTTTGTTGTACTTATTCTGCACAAAAATGGTGCCACTTGTGAGCTCTGGGCATCAGCGTATGACCCCTGCTGTTGATGGACCCACCATTTCACAATATCTGCAGGGGGGTGGGAGTATCAGATGGCACTGAGATATGTTTTAGTGATAAAAACACATTTATTTATCATGTAAACATATAACTTGTTTTGTCAGTGATACAAGTCAGTAAGTAAATTGTTGTGCTTGATCCCATTCAAGGGTCAGCTATTGACCTTTTCACCTTTTTTCCAGTAACACAATGAGATTTTTGATTAATAATCATCAATAATGTGGATATAACAACTAAGTGGGTTAAGACAAGCGTTAAAACAAATAGAAAAGTCTGGTTCGTTAATAAATTTACATCACTTTACTGTAATGCAGGCTTTAAAATGAGTGGGCAAACATCATTTATGCCATATCAAAATATAACAATATCCAAAACCGAAGATGATATATAGTCTCATGTCTCGATAACGAAATAATATCTTCATGTTGCCCAGCCGTAATCTGCCTTCTTGTATGTTGCTGCAGGTGTTTGGGCATGGCAAAGCCAACGGGGAGCCCACCTGGGCCCTTCTGCTCACAGCTAGCATCTGTGAGATTGGCATCATTATCGCCTCCCTGGATGCAGTCGCACCAATCCTCTCCATGTGAGTACATTGTGACCTCACACACACACTTAACGGCCATTGCTGTGCAGGCCTAATGTAGTTACTACAATCCTGTCTGTCTAACTTTTTATTCTGTATTTCTCTTCCTCTCTTCTCTCTTTCTCTCCTCAGGTTCTTCTTGATGTGCTACATGTTTGTCAATCTTGCCTGTGCCCTGCAGACTTTGCTGAGGACACCAAACTGGAGGCCACGCTTTAAGTTCTACCACTGGTGAGTCTGTGTTAAATGTGACATGCATATCCCGTGCTGCAATTTCTGAATTTGACCCAAATTCTGCACCTGTGAGGTGATGATAATAACCAGCGCTGTGTGCACCTGAACTACCATGGAAAGCTAAAGCCTGTTAATCCACAGTAGCAACAGACTAATTACAAATTAATTTACAAGCTGAGGTCATTGCTGTGCTCCAGCCAATTGTGTGAAGCTGGCAGAAATTCTCAGACCAAACACATGATGTCCTGTCTCCTGCAGGGCTCTGTCTTTTCTGGGTATGAGCCTGTGCCTGTCGCTCATGTTCATCTGTTCCTGGTATTACGCCATCGTCGCCATGGGCATCGCCACCTGCATCTACAAATACATTGAGTTCTGTGGGTAAGTAATCATCATGACATCATGCAGCACGCCGAGTTACTCTGCCAGTGGTTATTGTTGTAGTTTAATGACAGTGATGGATTGAGCTTGTTTTTTTTTACCATACATTCTATTGAGTATATATTATAAATCATGTGCCAACCCATTAATGTGCTGTGACAGAGCGGAGAAGGAGTGGGGTGATGGGATACGCGGTATCTCTCTCAGCGCTGCACGCTTCGCCCTCATGAGGCTTGAGGAAGGACCGCCACACACCAAGAACTGGAGGTCAGTCCACACATCTTCAACTCTCAAACTGTTTATATCGTTCATTGAATCTAAAATACAATGTACTGATCTTACTGAGATGAGTCAGTGACTTGGTGCTTTGTTTTTCTCTCAGGCCTCAGATTCTGGTTCTGGTGAGCGTGGATGCCGAGCAGAACGTAGAGCAGCCTCGTCTGCTCTCTCTGACCAATCAGCTGAAAGCAGGGAAGGGTCTGACCATTGTCGGCACCTCAGTTCAAGGAACCTTCCTCGACAACTACACTGAGGCGCAGAGGGCAGATCAGGTCTGTCCTCTTTAACACATTCACTTTGACTTGTGATATAAACTCAGTGGTTGAACATCACTCAGCTCTCAGTACAAGTTTTCACACACACCAACAGCCGTGTTCCCCTCTCTGTGTGTTTGTAGTCTCTGCGTAAGTTAATGGAGACAGAGAAGGTGAAGGGCTTCTCTCAGGTGGTCATCTCCTCCAATCTGAGAGATGGGACGTCCCACCTGATCCAGGTTGGAGGACTGGGAGGTCTGAAACACAACACTGTGATGGTCAGCTGGCCCCGAAACTGGAAACAGCCAGAGTACCACCAGCAATTTAGGAACTTTATTGGTAAGTCTGAAGTCACTGATAAAATAATAGATGTCTTAGCTGATACATCTTTATCGATTTCTTAACTTTTAAATGTTGACATCAGTATTCGCCTCAATAATCTAGTATGATTTTAGCCTCTAGACCTTATGGATGTTTTTATTTATATGTAATTAACATCATCACCAGAAAAATGTTTGTCTTACTAAGCATCGCCCCTTCCTGTCTAATGGGCTGACTTAAGCAAACAATAGAGGGGCAGCCTTTTCTCAGACCCTTCATTATATTTTATATCAAATCCATTCTGTCCCTCTGCAGAGGTGGTTAGAGAGACGACTGTAGCCAGCATGGCCTTGTTGGTTCCTAAAAATATTTCCAGCTACCCGTCTAATGGAGAGCGCTTCACTGAAGGCCACATAGACGTGTGGTGGATTGTCCATGACGGAGGCATGTTGATGCTCCTGCCCTTCCTGCTGCGTCAACATAAGGTGAGAAACATGACACCATGAATTATTCTTCACATCTGAGAAGTTTTAATATGACTCTGATAACTGAACTAATTAATGAGCACAAGTGAAGAGGGTTAAAAATTACACTGATGACGTTTCATCACCTGTGAATGTTCCTGTTTTGTCCCGCAGGTGTGGAGGAAGTGCAAGATGCGTATTTTCACTGTAGCTCAGATGGATGACAATAGTATCCAGATGAATAAAGACCTCATCACCTTCCTCTATCACCTGCGCATCGACGCTGCTGTGGAGGTGGTGGAGATGGTGAGAGACTTGTCTGACACTTAATCTGAGTTCACAAACAATCTCTGCCAGGAGCCGATTTATGTTTCGGAACTCATAAAGCAGCTGTGTGTTCTGAGATGAACCCAGAGTGGTTTTTTTTTACTCTAATCTTTCTTTTATAACTCAGCTTCTTTTTCAGTATTGTACTTGTATAATAAATGAATAATGTGTTTTTTTACTTTAAAGCATGATGGTGACATCTCAGCCTACACCTATGAGAAGACATTGATAATGGAGCAACGATCCCAGATCCTCAAACAGATGCATCTGACCAAGAATGAGATGGAGAGAGAGGTAAACCATAAAAGTGTCTACTACACATAACTGGAGAAATCGTAAGGGGAACTTTGTTGGGTTTTTTTGTTTTGTTTCATTTGTGTTTCTGTCAAATTTGACAGAAACACAAGACTTGTATCATTTTAAACAATTTAAACAGAGTGGATAAACCTGAATTTTAGTCAGTGTTGGCCCCTGAAGAACACAACATTAATGTTGGCATTTTCGTTATCACTCTGTGTGCTCCAAATATCAGCTCTGGGGCAGGGAATTGGTTTATAATAAACTGTTGTTGTCTGGACTTGTTTTCACTGATCTGAGGGAAGAGAGAGTGAGTTCTGGAGGGAAATTACAAATTGATTCTAATTTATTTCCTCACTTTTTTATAACTATAGATCCAGAGTATTACGGATTCATCCCGCGGGTCCATTCGGCGTAAAAACCCACCTGGCTTGCGCTCTCAGCACAGTGTTGATGAAGGAGCTAGCGTAGCAGAACAACCTGAAGATGAGGTAATGCTGCCACGGCCCTTTTAGCAGGAATAACTTGTTTATCTGCAGTGACTCTGTCTTTGTTCTCTTCACCCCTACTGTCTGTCTCTCTGTGTTCCAGCTCGGGAAGAATCTTCTTTTTGTGCTGTAATGTTTGATCAACAATGTTTTATTTTTTTCACTCACTGCCCACTGATTTCCCACTGGCTTCCAGAGTTTCACCGACACTGACAGGTGTCTCCTTTCTCTCCTTCACTGTCACGTCGCGGTGTCTGTCTCTCAGTCTGGTGCTGTCTCCAACCCAAAACAGGTACAGCTGATCCACAGTAAGAACGCCTCCACGCCAACCAGCCCAACAAGCCCCACGTCTCCAACTGCGCCTGCAGGGGGCGCTGCGACCCGGACGGACAACAAGGGTGCAGACAAGGCGAAGACCCTTTCAGTAGCAACACCAGAGCTGGGCAAAGACGTCTTCAACATGAAGCCGTGAGTGACCTGCCAGTTTTACTCAGCTTCCAGCACAGGAAGCAGATTTGACACATGACATGCACACGGGGGCGCCAGTTTATTTATTTTTTTAGGATGATGAAGGGAATGACCCACCCTAGTCTGCATTAAGTGGGATATACTCGTGCGGCAGACCCTACCCCACAGCCTACGCACGTTGCCTACGCCGTTGTGAGCATTTGTACTTGTGCAGTGAAGTGTCTGTGTCACTCTGCAGTTACGTCTTTAAAACACTAGTTGGCGTGCAGAGGTTTCTTAAAGTTTCGTTGATTCAAAACACACATTAAACACACATTAAACATGGCTTAATAGAGACATTTTCAAACACAAGTACACAAATCAGCTTCACTATAACACACAGCATTCACAGACAAACACTTGTCTTTATCTGGACACATTTTCCCCACAAATACAACATGCTAATGTTTTTAGCTCAAGTCTATGGTATTTTACAATGTATAAATTAGCCTAGCAGCTAGCAATCTTTTCCTCTTCTCATATAAAACCAGGGACAACAGTAATATTTAACAAAGGTAACAGTACATAATTTGGCTCCATTACAGCTCACAAGGTTCACTGACAAAACAACTGTCTTATACTTTCAAAACAAATACAACATGTTAACGTTATTAGCACAAGCCTATGGCATTTTACATTATATAAATTAGCCTAGCGACGAGCAAAGATTTCCTCTGCTCATATGAAGCCAGGATAAATCACACACACGACTTAAAATGTAATTTTTGTGGAGGCTTTCTTCACAATTTATTGTTTCTTATCTGTGAAATAAAAGTAAATAAAAGCTTCGTTTCCACTGAGAGAAATGTTTTCAGCTTACAAAAATAGACAGGAGGTCTGTGTTGACGTGTAGTTACATTTCTGGGGAGGTGCACGGAGCCTACGCTATAGCGTCGATTCAACGCAAAAGTATAAATTCTGCATTACTCTGACTGGTTTACCCCGACATTCTTACCCTAAACCTAACCAATCTCGCTCCTCGTGCCTAAACCTTACCAATCCAACCAACAAAGGTAACCAGTCCTAGCCAGTCAGAGGGAGGGTATGGTGGGTCATGCCTTCACCATCCTACAAAAAAAAAATTAAAATGGCTCTATACACATTGGTCAGTGGTAAATATTTGAGTATACTGATCCATGTTCTGGGGTTTAAAGAGATCAGTTTTTTTCCTGCACATGTGACAAATAAAACTTTGAACTTACACAACTCCACACACACACACACACACACACACACACACACACACACACACACACATATATGTCCTGTTGTAATTCTCCGTAATTATTTCCTTCCTAACATGCTGCTGTAGGGAATGGGAGAACTTGTAAGTATTTTCACTTTGTAGGGAGGCACACTGTCAGCTGAGTGATTTGTAAACCTAATGTGGCCTTTTTGTTTCCTGCATCAGGAGCCAGGTCGACGTGAGGCGCATGCACACAGCCATGCGGCTCAATGAGGTCATCACAAAGAAGTCCAAGGAGGCAAAACTTGTGCTGCTCAACATGCCTGGACCGCCCAAGAACCGCATGGGCAATGAGAACTGTATCCTACATCATATACATGACATACTGTATTCTACTATCTTTGTGTACTTTGCTCAGTTCAGTTCAGATCCTGACTGTCCCACAAGGGGAAAGTGATTGTGCAGAAAGTGCTGATACTACATGTGCAAGACAGGTTCAGGTGATAAAAGCAAAGAAAAACTGCAACGATAAGAACAGAAATTCTGCAGTTCATCATATATTACAAACAGAAGTCAAGTCCAAAGTCACAACAGACAAGTCCCAAGTCCTAAACAAGTTCTAATGCACTCTTTGCCAAATGTAATGCTATTTTAACAACAGTATTAGGGCTGCCCCCGACTAAGAATTTGTAGTCGACCAATGAAGATGAGTTTACATATCACCTTGGGTTCGTCCTTCACCTTCTCAAAATGATCCCACAATTGGATTTCCTGTCTGACATGTTATTAACTAGCCTGTGGAATAATTGCAGGTACCAGCCCTGGAAATTATGGGCCGTAAACATGCCGTGTCTTTAACTGCCTGGAAAAAAATGAGGTCAGGCGCTAGGTGCAACTCTTTTTGTGTGATTTGCCAGCTAAAACTTTCAAAGACAAATGGCCCCTGTAACTGATATATGCTATATTATTATATGTATAAATACTGTATATTATATAATAATGCACAAGAAGATGGTTCCTGTTGTAGCTAGTCTAGTGGGGCTAGTTTTAAAGGTCCAGTGTGTAGGATTTAGTGAAATCTTTTGGATATAGTGTCATATAATATTCATTATTATGATTTTATTCGTTTTATTCATTTTATTCTTTGAATGAGCCACATATATCATCATATGTCCGAGAGCGGGTCCTCTCCCATAGAGTTCACCATGTTGTTTCTACTATAACTCAGAATGAATAAATCAAACACTGGCTTTAGATAGGCCCCTTTTTGCATCAGTTACTGTAGTTCTCGTGCACCCTTGTCACATGGGACAACTTCACTACTAGATGTCACTAAATCCTCCACACTAGACCTTTAAATACTTTATGTACAGATATTTCAGTCTAATATTTTTGGGCCGCCCTTCTAAAGGTCACAAAATAAACCTGAAGGATCACAAGATGATTAATGGGACAGGAAAAAAGATAACAGTTCTGTTACAAACATTTGTTTTAGGTATTTGGACTTAAGTCTTTGGGCCTCGAGCAGTTATTTATACGAAACACTGAGTTCAGAGGGGAAATCACTCTCTCATAGACGACTAAAACATGTGACAGGGGACCAGAAATAGACACACCTTTTTTGTAGGCGCTCCACAAGCCAAACAGGCTTGGACCTAATGGTTTAAGATTTTGAATATAAAATCTTAATCTCCAAAGTATACCTTTAAAATAAATAAGAAGTGATAAAGTGATGAATAAATGATTGAAATCATTGGCTAACACCGTTATGTGATTTAAGAAAACAACATTCCTTCACTGTTATTGTCTCTCAGACATGGAGTTCCTGGAGGTGCTCACCGAAGGTCTCAATCGGGTCCTGCTGGTGCGTGGCGGTGGACGTGAGGTCATCACCATCTACTCTTGAAGGGCTTTAAGGTCTTTTAATGGCACCTACACAGACTCTGCCCTCTTTCCCCCCTTCTGTATTGTTCCAGGAAAATCCTCACATGCCATTAACTCATTTAACCTTTTGACCGTTAGTTCACCTGCAGAGTTATGCAACAGTCACCTCTCTGTTCTCGACTCGTCTGCTGATATCAGCAGATCCCTTTTATGGTTACTTCCGACAGTTTATTGCAAAACAAACGACTGTGAAAGCTTCACTTGATCTCAGAAAATGGAAGGTTTTATTTCCCTTTTCTGATACGTTAAGTCAACTTTATTTCCCTTTGCTTTTGTTCCTGGTTGTTTGTAAAAGAGGAATGTTTTTCTTTATCGTTTTTTCTTACTTTCTGTTATTTATTTATTTATTATTATTTATTTATTTATTCATCTAATCATGTCTGTCTTTGTCCTGGTCTGTTTTTGTCTTTCATTGTATGGTTGGAAGCACACGAGTATTTATATAAGTGGTAATGGTATTTATTGATAGAGGAAAGAACGTTGGTTGAGGACCTTTCTATGTTCATGCGATACATTTATATTAATTAATTCTCAAAACAGACCAGCTGCATGAAATATACTGACCTCTAGTTTGCACTCACTTTAGTCAGTTGTGAAAATGCTGTTAAACACTTGATTGTCCATGTTGTCTCATTGCTTACAGCAGAAATTAAAATGAAAAGAAAATGATTTGGTGCAGATTATTGTGATCCCAAACCTTATTGTTTGACTTCAGTATCCTCACCGTTGGAAAGGGATCATATACATTGAGTTGACTCAGTGACATGCAGTAATACAAAGCCTCTGAGTTCAGTGACGGCCGCTTTAAATACTGCACATTCACTAATTGTCTGATATGTATTATCTCTGGTGTCTCCTGTGATAGATGTCGTGCTGGTTGATCAGGGCGCACTGAGTTTTTATCCCTCTGTTGTTTTCATTTTAAGATACTAACATATAAACGATCAAGTAGATTTTGGTACATGATTCAATGGGCATATGAAACCTTAATTTTATCTTTATCCAAAAAATTTGGTTCATAGGAATCCTCCTCACAACTCTTTAATAAATAAACGGTCCTTCCTGATTACTTATCAACAAAATGTGCCAATATATAATTTAAATGTAATATTTTAGGTGGAATTTAAATGTAAAAAAAAATCAACAGATTTAAGACCAGGCATCTCAACAAACGTTTATTAAATATCGTGTAAAGCTTCAAGGTGAAAGTGAACGTATGTAGTTATTATATGTTTGTAAAAAGAAATTTTACAACATTAAGTCAGTGTAAAATGTTCATAGATACACGTCAATATTACATAATAAATTTTATCTCAGAGAATTTATTTTTTAATGGTGTGGTTCAGAAAAAAGTTTAGAAATACAATTTAAGAACAAATTATATATTCTATATTTTATGTATGTAAGAGCACAGTATTTAAGGAGTAGTTTGCTCACTTGATTTCTTGCTGATAGAAGAGAGATACCACTCTCAGCAGCAGCCAGGAGATGTTTAGCTTAGCTTAGCATAATACCTCTGTCCACAGGCAACAAAATCTGCCTACCAGCACCTCTGAAGCTCAGTAAGTAATGTTATATCTCATTTGTTCAATCCATAAAAAAACAAGGTGTAAAAGTGACAGTTAGCCCTTTTCGTGGAGTTTGTGAGCCAAAGTATCTCATGAGTGAGAGCAGTAACTTCCTGGAGTCTCAGCCTGTTGCCCAGCAACAGCACACACTCACCTCCGTAAAATGACAAAATGTCGCTTTAACTTCTTAATGTTTTGTTCAGTTTAATTTACAACATAAAACTTGCTAATTTGGGTGTGTTGGTGTTGGTAGGCAATTTGTTTTATCTTTGATCAGAGCTAGGCCATCTGTCTCCTCCTGTTTCAAGTCTTTATGCTAAGCTAAGCTAAGCTAAAAGGCTACTAGCTGTAACTTCATATTTACTGTAGGCTACAGATGTGAGTCTTAAGCGGGATTTATACTTGTGTGGCAGACCCTACGCTGTAGCCTACACACGTCTCTTACGCTGTTGTGAGCATTTATACTTATATATTTATCATGTGTGGTGGTGTGTCACTCTGCAGTTTCTGTGAAGTGCTGTTAAGTTTAGTTGACTCAAAACACACCTTAAACACACATTAAACATGGCTTAATAGAGACAATATCAAACACAAACAGACAAATTAGCTTCACTATAACTCGCAGCATTCACAAACACTTGTCTTTATCTGGACACATTTTCCCCACAAATACAACATGCTAACGTTATTAGCACAGGCCTATGGCATTTTACATTGCATAAATTAGCCTAGCAACCAGCGAACTTTCCCTCTTCTCATATGAAACCAGGGACAGCAGCAACATTTAACAAAGGTAATGTTACGAAATTCGACTCCTTTACACCTCACAAAGTTCACCGACAAAACAACTGTCTTATACTGAAGACGTTTTCCAAACAAATATAACATGCTAACGTTATTAGCACACACCTATGGCATTTTACATTGTTTAAATTTCAGCTCACAAAAGTAGACAGGTCTGTAGAGCTACAGCGTTGATTCAACGCAGATGTATAAATTCCACCTTAGACTTCTCATACAACTCTTGACAAGAAAGCAAATAAGTGTATTTCCCAAAATATTGAACTACTTAAAGTGTTTTTTTTTTGCTGCTAAACTAATGCACACCATTTTAAAATGTGAAGAAATAATGAGAGAATTTTAGATGAATCTCAGACGGTTAATATTAAACTGTTTTAGGATGATTGATCCTGCAGAGTACCTCTCGGACATTTCAATGCTGTTTTTGGTTTTTTTTTTGGTTGTTTTTTGTGTGTCTGTGCCAGAGTGTGTACACAATGGATGTCTAGTTTCTGTTTGTGTATGGTGTAGTTATTTTTGGACATACTTCATTCATGCACTTGCTGTTTTGTCATAGGTATTATTCACAAAATCTACTGATTCTGCAAACATTTCATTGGATATCACCATTTTATACAGTATATGGATATGATCAGTAAGAGTCGGGCCAGTGTACATTATCTTGCCTCAGAACGTGCACAGTTTATGATATCAGTATGAAATCAAAACACTTAGAATTAGGTTATAGTTCATATGGAAGGTTTTTGTCCGACATGTATGCACGCAGTAGTTTGAGTTTATTCCCCTCTTCCCCTCGGCCTATTTGTGCCCTCAAGTATTTTACTTAGAACATTCTGTATCATGTTCTAGCACAAAAGCATTCAGCATCTTTTCCAGGAAATCATAAGACTTGTAAGTATTCTTATATCCTTCAGATTTACTGTCTACATGTACTGTTTTTACTGCTGTAGCATTTACAGAACCTCACCTCATCATACACATATTGATACGTCCTCTTTTTGGTGAATGTCTGTGCAGCCCTCAGTGTTTCCCTAACAACTCTGCAAAGTGTGGGTGCGTAACAATAGCAACAACAGCAACTCTATTACTGATTTATGAGAAGATGGTGTAGCTCTACAGGTTGATATATTGGACGCTTGTCTGCGCATGTTTAGAGTCAATATTTTTAAACTCCCTCTCCCAGAAACAGAGAGAGTGTGTGTGTGCTGTGACTACATGCCTGTATGCTGTGTGTTTGCGTGTGGAGGATAGTGTATGTAACAGCAAGATAGAGTGAAGATGGGAAGTTTGTAAATAAATGTGTGATTTTAGACGTAGAGGTAACACGTGTAATGTGTGTTAATACAAGTTTTGTAGATGTAAAATAGGCAGTTTGTATTGTCTTTTAAAATGATAAACTTTGTTTAATGTTCTACCATGTCTAATGCAGTTATGTACCAGTAATGGTTTAATGGAACCATTTTATATGTCGGCACAAAATGCAATAAATTAAAATCATTTTAATACAACAGAGACAGTTCGTGTGTCTGTGATTTTATTCTTACAGTGTCTGCTTATAGACTCTTTCACCATTAGTAAACAGTACCACATTTTTGGTGGGCAGGGCAAAACAATTCTCCACAGACATTAGTTAGTGCTTGCTAGCAAGTTCTGTGGCTTGTTTTTGACAAAGGAGGAAGACGATGTGAGTGGTGCATTAAGGCCTCATTTCTACCTACATATGTGTACAGAGATGAGTCAACTGGAGGTCCATTCATTCCTATGGGAATCTCCATGATATCAGATGTGCCTGCGAAACCAGCTCCAGTATGCTAGCTAAGCTGTAAGACTGTTTTCTTCAGTTCAGTTGCCTGTTAATTGTCAAGTGAGTTTGTGTGATTTAAGAACTTGTTTATCTAGTTTTAACACATTGTGAATCTGAGTAATGTTACTCTGCTAAAATATGGTTTTACATCATATACAGTCAGACTGTCATTATGACTTGTTCAGCCATTCATACGTCTTTTTAATTAAATATTTCACAAAACATGCCACGTACCTTGCAGGCCAACATATTCATTTATTTGTTGCCATGCAACGTTGGTCCTGTTTTGTCCCGGTAATGTTCCAAGTGCATATTCCAAACTACTGGATGGCGAAAACTTACAAAATTAGCCTCTCCCCCATGGCTACAGGTAGTTTCTATCAAGTTTCTATCCATCCGTAAAGAAATGCACTTCCTGGTGTTGGACACTAGAGGCATCATCTGTGTAAATTTATAGATCTACAGATACCAGTCACATACATAAGTGGAAATGAGGCGTGAGAAATACTCATTCTGAGTGCCGGAGCACACTCTGACACAACCTGGACCATTTATAAATTCAGAGCACTATCTGAATGCACAATTCAGTACAGTGGCAGAGCGCTCTCTCTGGTGAGTTACCTTTAGACATGAAAACCGTCTTTGTACCGGGCTGTAAACATGTTCATTTGTACTGTAAAGTGTAAAGTCAGGCATTGTAACATGGGGGTGTATGGGGAGTGATTGACTTTTGAAGCCAGCCTCAAGTGGCCGTTTAAGGAACTGCAGGTTTGGCACTTAAGCATTGGCCTCATGTTTCAGCCCCAGAGGTTGTTGCTTGCACGAAACACAAGAAACAGCAGAGGCTGATAGAAGTGTTTTTGTTTTGCAGATATAACGTCATAAAGTATTGAACGAATCAAAATTCTGATCTGGTGATTTTGCCACTGGAAATGTCAAGGATTCACCAAAGTCATTAGGATTCATCCTCTGGGAGCCATGAATGTCGGCACAGTTCAGGCTGAGACTGGTGATTTTTCCACTGCACTTTAGACAGGAGCAAACCTTTATGGCCAGATGAAATCAGGTGCAGATCTGACAACAGATACTTGTTGATTCTGCCACTATTAGAAGGCACAAATAAAAATATTCACAGTCATGAGATTAGCTTCTCTGTATACACTTTTCTGTCGTTACTTGTCTCTGTACTCTGATTTATCGTGACTTGCACCACTGAAGACAAAATAAGACAGGAGCAACTTTTTAAAATTTTGGGGAAATCATTTCAGTTTATACTACATGATATAGTAAGAGGACTGTCAGTGTGCAGGAAGCATTAACAGAAAAGTTGTATAGTTTTTTTGTAAGACACCTACTGTTAGGTCAGCCCTCTGCTCTCACTTTAACCTACTTCAGGGGGAAATGTTGCGAACAAAGTGTTTGATCTAGAAACATGCTGAACTGCACTGATTATGATGTGCAAGCTGAAGCAAATACCACTAACTTTATAACAGACACTATGCCCTAACTGTTCGACTCGGAGGTTCACAGGTCAGCAAACTCTGTTTCACAATGTTTCCGAATGGAAATCAGCCAGTTGCAGTCACAGCAGGCAGAGAAAATTATAGTGTAAATCAGAAACTCACATGGCAACATAAACGATGATACTTTATGTTTAAATTCTTATAAAGCATATTTTTAGTGTCAGAATTTTGTCAGAGGATGCATGATTGTGTTAAATGCATTGTTAATGGTTTTAATCCATCTGATAAAAAATGTATTTTGACGTCAGGTGCATGTACGCTTCATTAGGCAAACTACTGTGGATGTATAGACGCAAAGTCCTGCAGTGTTGTGCTATAAGGCTACAAAGTAACCACAAAAAAGGCTTGTGTATTAAAACCAATACATTTCTTATTACAACGGTCAAAGTCCACGCAGCAGTGTCTCTCTGTGAGGGAATGCATGTGTTTGTCTGAGAGAGAGCAGGAATGACGAATGCCTTTGAGCTGTCTTATCTAGACAGAGATAATGCAGGCCGCAAAAGAAATGACAGTCATTTGTCCCAAGGAGGTGTTAGGATGAAGACGCAGTCGACCAGCCTTCGGGTGAAGTTACCTGTGTTTGTGTTTGTCACACAGGTGGTTATAGTTGGCTTGTATGCTGCCTTTGTCACATACGATGAGCATGCGGACGCCAGATTTCAGACCAACAGGACTAACCCCATGGACAATGCCTTGTACAGGGACTACCCTATTTTTACAGACGTACAGGTCATGATATTTCTCGGCTTTGGGTGTCTGTTGGCATTTTTCCGGCTCTATGGCTTTAGCGGGATGGTTTTTAACTTCCTCACGGCTACTTTTGCCACCCAGTGGGCCATTCTGGTGCAGGGGTACTTCCAGTTCAGCCATGATGGTAAGATCCACCTCGGGGTGATCAACATCATCAATGCAGAGTTTGCCTGTGCTGTGGTGCTGATATCTTTCGGGGCAGTGCTGGGGAAGACGAGTCCGCTGCAGCTGCTGGTCATGGCTCTGCTGGAGGTGCCAGTGTTTGCAGTCACAGAATGGGCCGTGCTCAAGTATCTGAGGATCAACGACGCAGGGGGCTCCATCCTCATTCACATCTTTGCTAGTTATTTCGGCTTGGGCGTCACTTTTGTACTGTATAGGCCTCGTCTAAATGAAGGCCATGCAAAGGAGAACACCAGCTACCAGTCTGACATCTTGGCTCTGATGGGGACCTTGTTCCTCTGGGTGTTTTGGCCTTCAT